AAATATATATATTTTAGTTAAAAATAAAAAAGCTTTTCGACTTGTCAAAAAACTGGTCCTTTTAGTTTGATTAGGTAAATATATTAAATGTAAATCAGTTTATAAAGTATTAAAAAGTTAAGCTAAAGCAACAGTAGTAAACTCAACTTTATATTCCAGAAATGCTCCAGTTTTCTAAACATAATAAATTAAGTATTAATGTCTGGAAAACATGTTTGTGTTCATGTATCAGGCAAATATTACATAAAAAGCAGATTTTTTTAAAAGTGCTGTTTTTTGACGTTAGTTGAAAGGATTAAGGTGTTTGCTGACAGAAGGCCTTGACGTGTGGACGAACTGTTTCATTCAGCAGAGACAGGAAGCGTTGTGAGGAACAGATCAACACATGGAAACTCTTTGTGCCCAGGATGAAAACAGAGTTTGGGCAGAACGGGTGTGGAGGCTGTTAAAAGCCTAAACACTTTAAAATTTGCATTGCCAATTTTTGACTTTATATATTCTTGAACTTACGTCGAGACCCTGAGATGTGTCAGCGTTAAACCTGCTTTGGATGCCTTAATTGATTGTGAAAAAAGCTGCCTGCTTCTGACGAGGCGCTGGATGTTAATGAGGAGGTAAAACAGATGCGTTCAGGCTTCCTGGTGATTTAAAACAACATGAATATGGAACAYTGAAGCGTGACTGGCAGATGACTTAAAAGTTCTGATATTTGAGCGTTCATCGTGTGGAAAAAGCCAACTTTCGCTCCTGCTAAAAGCTTTGTCTAATTGACAGCAGATGGGTAAATTTATATCAACACGATGCCGCCTTTTCTGCTTTGGTGTGCGCGAAGCCCTCAGCGCTCACCGGGGAATCTGCTCGGCACACACACCTCTCAGGTTGGAGGGGGGGCTTGTTAACATAACTTCAGTCAGACACTTCCGTTTAAAATGTATTTAAAGATTTAATTCTTCCAGTTTAAGAGCTCCTTGACTCTGAGCGTGGAGGAGCTGATTAATGCAGCCGAGCCTGTCACGCAGGCTACAGGCAGAGGGGAATAAAAACCAATGTTTTACTGCCGAGGCAAAACGGAGCACAAATGTAAATAGCGAGGAGATCGACAGAGAGGGGTTTTGTGTTTATAAAGCTTCAAAAAGGCGCCTCAACCCTGCGAGACACCGGAGACACGCAGACACACACCGACGCAGCGAGCTGCCTCGCTGCCTCAGCGGGCCTTTGATCAGGCGGAACCTTTTATGGGGAATGACTAGCGAGCGCACCCGCTGCTGTCACTACAAATCTGCCTCACGGAGCGCGCGGGGAAGCGGGGATCGTGGCGGCGGAGGGGAGGAGGAAGCAGGATGTTCGACGTGTCGGCGCGGTGGTGGGAGGCAGGGAGTCGAAGAGAGATTCAGGAGAACAGCAGCTTTCATCTCGTCCTAGCTGGCTCACCTGCTGAAAGCTGCACTTAACTTCCTCCACCTGCTAAGTGTGCGCAGTGTGTGCGTGGTTAACACAAGTTGTTTTATAGTGTAGTACTGTACAACACAGACAGTAGTTTTACAGTGCCGCTGCACTGATGCCAGTAATACATACACCAAAAATAAGAGTTCAAGGTTTATCTCTCATTCTTTAGAGAAACAAAAGAAAGTTACATCTGCACTGAAACAGACCAACAAACTATCAAAACTTAATAAAATCCCTCTCAGCCTCTGTTCAAAGTGTCTTTAAATAAACTTTCAAACTGATTATCAGCATTATTATACTCACAAACTGTCAGCATCTTTCACCAGAGGGTGGTCATGGCTTTAAATGTTTTTCTGTTTTATATAAAATACCTGATAAACCACAGGATGGATTTCTGTGGACCCCACCTGGTGACACTGGATAAAGAAAAATTAATGTGTGGACACAACAAGGTAACTTCTGGTCATGAGTTTATGTTGAGCAGATGAACCACAGGATGGATTTTTAGGRACCCTATACAAGACTGATGTCTGTCATTCATTTTAATATTAAATTAATAATCTCTGCATGGAAATGACTTATGTTGTGAGTGTGCATAATTTATCTATTTTTTTAATCAAATATCGCCGGACGGGCTCCGTAGATTTAATGAAACTCCCAGAAAGTAAACTTTGATTTGATTTGATTTGATTTATTTAACAGGAAAAGATYACTAAAAATCAAGCCTGACTCAGCATAATTGCTGTTTTACAGCAGGTTCCTGTTCTGCAACACATAAAACACTCAGAAATACAGCATCACAATCACATCATTATACACCA